GCTGGCATGTGGTGCTGGGGATCGAACCGCGGTCCCTGTGCTTTGCCAAGCTTGTTTCAAGTAGGTGCTTTAGACCACTGAGCCATCTCTCCAGCCCCTAATGTAGATTTAGAGTAGGAAATAAAAATATGTATCATTTGGGGAATTGAAACTTCTCAAAGCTGTGTCTCTATGCGCCTGTGTCTCAGTTCCATCCTGTTTCATGTTCCTTACTTTCTAGATGTCCCACTCTGCAGTTAATGCTCTTTGTAGAGCCATCAAGCTCCAGTGTGAGTTGTATTCTTCTCGGCAGATTGCCATCTGCCTTGACCCTTACTGTGGACTTGGCTTTGCACTCTGGTGTCTCTGCAGGTAAGGATGGAAAAGCCAAAGAAACAGAATGTATGTGGCATACTTAGGGGCTGCTTATCTTTCCCTTTGCTCCCTTAATTTGCTAACGTTTTTAGTAAAAGGCTGTTTTTCTGAATTGTCTGGTTTTGTCTGGATTCCCATTTCTTGTCTTATGCCTCATATAAAATGCCATTTACTCAGTTACCTGTTCTGTGTTTCTTCCTATATCCTTTATTTAGAAGCAAAGCCAGATGGTGGGATGATACTTGGTGTAGTATAACATGCTTTAACAGCCAGAATAAACCCCCTCAGCTTGGCAGGAAGGAATGGGATGGGATGGGATGATAGCATGTGGCCAGGAAGTGGCATGTTTGTCCTGGCCAGATTGCTTCTTGAGGAAGAACAAGTTCCAGCTCCTTCCATCACCTGCCACAGGGGCTTTATCTCAGGCCTGTATTTTCATGTACTTGTGGACTTTTGGAACGCTTCTCATGTGCCTATAACTCAACATCCTGCTCCATGGTCCCCAACTTCATTATGGTAGGGTTATCTACCAAGGCCCAAAATAGAAATGTGGGCATTATCTTCAACATCTGTACTGCATGGCCTGCATAATAAATGTCATATTCTTTGAGGTGTTGTCTTTTGTTTTGTTTTTGTTTTTGTTTTTGTTTGTTTGTTTGTTTGTTTTTTTGAGACAAGGTCTTACTGTGCAGTTCAGGCAGGTCTTGAACTCACTCTGTAGTCCAGGCTGACCTCAAACTTGCAGTGATCCTCATTCCTCAGCCTGGTGAGTAGGCATGTGTCACTATGCCTGGCTGTTCTTTGCCTCAGTTGTTGTATACATATCTCTCTATAATCAGTTCTTTAACATGTTCTGCCAGCTTAAACCACTGTATGATGTTCCCACTGTGCAGATCATACCACTGGTGGTACGAACAGATCTAATGCCTTTTATTAGTGTTTTTAACTCATAAAATTCATTAAAAGTCATCCAGGGCCAGCCAGATAGCTTAGTAGACTAAAGCACCTGCTTAGGTACAGGGTCCAGGGTTCAATTCCTGGCATGCCTTGCTGGCCCCGCCCCCACGGCACACCAAGACCTCAATTGAGACAAAGTGTGATAGCACATGCCTGTGATCCCAGCGCTTGGGAGGCTGAAAACAGGATCACTGTGAGTCCATTCTGTGTAGTGAGACCCTGTAGACCCTGTACTAAATACATTTTTTTTAAAAAGCCACCCAATGGGACCATGACACATGTACTGCCAGTGGTTGTAGCTGCCCAGCTGCAAGACATACAAATTATGGCCCCATTGTGAATGTGTTAACAAAACAAAAACAAATGGTTTTGTGGTTCATAAGTGTGATGATTTGATTTTCACACTGTTGTGAGGGAAGCATCTTCCCTCAGCCCTTATTCCAGTGTTTACACCTTTTTCATCTGATATGGAAAAGAATAATTAAAGAGGCTTTCCCAGGCTGACTTAACTCTCTAGAGGTGGCAGCCACAACTCGTATATGCTAAATGCAGGCTTCCTGGACTCCTAGTGTTTTTGATGTATATAAGTGTTCATGGCTTTACATTATATTTGTGATACGGGACTATGCCATTCCTTTCGTTTGATCCTCATCATGTAGTTGGGGTTCAGGCCCACACTCTCCCTGCCTCCTCTGTGTCATTGCAGCTAGATTGTTGCAGCCTTTCTCAGCCTTCATCCTCTAGTGGCTCATGTCTGTAATCTCCACTTCAATTACTAGTTTTGCTTCAGCTAAAACCGCCCTTTAAGGGTATAATCTAACCTTCTGAGGCTAGGTAAACCTCTTCAGAGTTTGGCTTCAGTCTTTCTAGCCTTCCCCTCCCCCCATACTCCCAGAGCATCAGGATTTCACTGGAATGCTATTTCTAACCATGCTCACTCCAAGCTCTCCTGCCTTTGGGTATGCTGTTCCACTACTTAGAATGCCTTCCCTGTCCTCCTCACTTCTTCCAGCTACTCAGATGCTTTCTTCAAACCCCAGCTTAAATGCTTCCTACTCAGTAAACCACCACAACCACCACACCCCTGCTTTCTCATTTTAAATGAATTGTTCTTTATCCTATGAACTCAGTGTCCTTTATGCATAGCTTAGTTACCAGACCTACCATAGTCTGCTTTATTTCATAGTTACTGCGTCTTGTGAGTTGCATAGGAACAAGGCTCATTCTGAGACCTTCATATCTAATGTGACTGTCCACCATCCTTCCCATGCAGTAAATATTTGTTAAAATGATGGTGTTCAAAAAAAAATGATGGTGTTCTAAAGTGAGGTGTCAAACCAGGCACTGTTTCACACACATGTAATCTCAGCCCTCGGGAGGCTGAGGTAGGAAGACTGTTATGAGTTCAAGTCCAGCGTGAACTGTGTAGCGAGCTGTCTCAAAAAGACAAAAAATAAAATGAGGTATTTAAGATGAATTAATAATGTTCTTGTCTTTCTTCATTGCAGTGTCTATTCAGGTCACCAATCCATCTTAATTCCTCCTATGGAGTTGGAAAACAACCTTTTCCTTTGGCTTGCCACGGTCAACCAGTACAAAATAAGGGATACCTTCTGCTCCTATTCGGTTATGGAGCTTTGCACTAAAGGGCTGGGAAACCAAGTAGAGGTGCTGAAGGTAAGTTGCAGCCACAACAAACAACCTAAGAAACCTAGGCTAAGTAAGTACTAAGAGCTTGTGGAGATGTGAGCCAGAGCATGATAATAACAGTGTAAGGGTTAGGAGACACACCTGCCTGCCTCTGTCCAGCCAGACATTTAAATGGGTGTTTTGTAAACTCAGGAAGTTTTAACTCTTTTACTTTACTAATGAGTGCACTCTTTCAGGGTCTAACCAGATTTTGACCTTAAAATGAAGAAGATAAGTACTGGGAACCTAAATGGAAATGACTTCATGTAAAGATCAAAGGAAATTTTCCCAGTAGAATTTGTTATGTTAAAGGTTTCAAATATTTATTGTTGATCCAATAGTGCTAATCACAGGAAAAGATTTAAGATTCCTCATTAAGTACATTCCACTATCCAGCCTATGGTATTTTTTTAAGCTTGATTCAGTATTGTCTTGACCATGATAAAAGAGGATATTGCTTTGTGACCTCCAAGAGGGTGGATGTGTTGCAGCTCTCATGCAGCTCCTTACAGTCCTAGCTTGGTCCTCTAATGTCTCCCCTTGGAGTTGGACCTAATTTTATTACCAGTCTTCATCCAAATCCACCGAGGAATGGGACAGCTCAGTTTTTGCTTCTTGGCCAGGAATTATTTGATTCTGAAAGTCTTGTGAGGGCTGGCGAGATGGCTCAGTGGTCTAAAGCACCTATTTGAAAGAAGCTTGGCAAAGCACAGGGACCGCGGTTCAATCCCCCAGCACCACATGCCAGCCAGCGCCGCCCCCTGGTGGGCTGAGCTGCCCCCCCACACACACACACACAAAATAAATAAATAAATAAATAAATAAATGTTTGAAAGTCTTGTGAGAAGACATGGTTAGGCTCAGAGGCACGAACACACAGTCAATGGTGGACAGAAGAGCCCCAGTAGAGTTTGAAAGCTCAGAATATTTGAAATGGATGTGGATCCAAAGATAAGGACAGTTCACTAATGTGTGTCTCCAAGGATCCTATTTAAAAAAAAAAAAAAAATTCAGCTAGGCATGACACATGCCTATAATTCCAGCATTCTGCAGGCTGAGGCAGAAGGATTGCTGGGAGTTTGAGGCCATCCTAGGCTACAAAGTGAGTTTAAGGCCAGCCTGAACTACATAATGAGACCCTGTCTCAAAAAGACAAAAAACAATTTTTTTAATTAATACATGTTTACAGTACATGATCATATTCATCATGGGTTCATGTGCATATTACAAAGATCATATTTCTGACCATCATATGAGAAAGTCAGACAGTGTTGAATTTTCTTTCATAGGGAACTATGGCTTCAAGAAGGAAAAAGAGGGACCAGGGAGATAGCTCAGTAGAATGAGCGCTTGAGCCTGAGTTCAATCCCTAGGTCCACAAGATGTTAGATACCTAGGTTCTGAAAGGCCAAGCATGGTGGCACATGCCTGTAATCCCAGCAGTGACGAGGCTGAGGCAGGAGGATCACTGAGTTTGAGACCAGCCTGGGCTAGAGTGAGCTGGTCAGAAATATGATCTTTGTAGTATGTACATGAACCCATGATGAATATGATCATTATGTATTGTAAACATGTATTAATTAAAAAAAAATTGTTTTTTGTCTTTTTGAGACAGGGTCTCATTATGTAGTTCAGGCTGGCCTTAAACTCACTTTGTAGCCAAGGCCAGTCTGAACTGCATAGCAAGACCATGTCTCAGAAAGACCAAAACCTAGGTTCTATATTCTTTTCATAGTCCCAACAAATAGAAACCTAAGATTCAGAATTGGGAAATAATAAAAATATATTGCTGGAGAATTCAACATTTTTAGAGGAAGAGGGAAGGAATAAAGAACAAGCACCTTTACTCATGATAATGATTTTACAGAAATGTGTCTTGAATTTTCTTCTTAAAGTTGCTTTTCTCTGCATGTCTGGAGCTTTAAAGAAGAAATTAAATAAATACATGCCAGTTCCTTGGCTTTTCTTGACTGAGAGTCATGCTTTACCTGTTCAGTTTTCTGCTCACACTGTGTGTCTTGCAGACCAGAGGGATCAACCTCTCCTGCATCCGGACCTGTGTGGTGGTGGCTGAGGAGCGACCCCGAATCACACTGCAGCAGTCCTTCTCCAAGCTCTTCAAAGACATTGGCCTGTCCCCTCGGGCTGTCAGCACTACTTTTGGATCGAGAGTCAATGTAGCAATATGTTTACAGGTGACGTCCTCAAGTCTCATTTGCTAACGTAGCTCCAACCCTAGGCTCACTTGTGGTGGGACTTGAGGTTTCTTCCTTTGGCTGCTGTATGCCTCATTATGCTCATCTGTAAAATGGAGATGACCGTTTCATACTTCCCAGGGTGGCTTGCAGAATACCGAGTTACTAGGAGTTACTGGGGGGCTGACAGATGGCACCAGTGTGAATGCTTCCTCTTAGTAGTGGTGGGGTGGTGCATGACGATGAACCAGAAAGCTTTCAGAGTCCTATTTGGAATACCCTATTTAGGTTTTATTTATATCTGACCTGTTTTTTCCATCTTCTCAGTATTTCCTTCTTCCCCCGCCCAAAATGAACGCAGATAAACTTGCATTCTTTTTTTCTAGTCAGACGGCAAGTTTGCCATGTTATTCTTTGTGAGTAAATACCAGAAAAGGGACTAGAACTGAGTTTGACTCTATAAGGGCTGGAAGCTAATAAAGCCGATAAAAACATGGATGAGACTAAGAGTTCAAGAGGGTGGCATATGTGGGCAGATACTTGTAGGGCTTCGGTGCTCATAGTGATTTCAGGATGTGTCCTGGGACTTTCACCATGGAGTCCTGTTGGGCCTCTTGCTGTCAGCTGGGGCTAGTGTTGATTCGGAAAATCCTGGGCATGGTGGCTCACATCTATAATCCCAGAATTTAGGAGGCTGAGGCAGGAAGATCTCTGAGGCCAACCTGAACTACAGAGGAAGAAGAAGAAGGAAAAAAAATCCTTGGGCCAGGGATGGAGGCACTCCTTGCCTTTGTAACATTTCAGTGCTGCTTCTGTCGGTGATGGAGGGGAAGGAAAGGGAAAACAGTAGATCTCCAGGCTGGGATGACTTGCAGACTTACATTCTTAATACCTATTAACTTGACCCTGCCTTCTTTGGTTGAAGAGGAAGTGAGCTTCCAAGACTAAGTGGTTGGTGTATGCATATAGTTAAAATACCTATTTCTTGAGCCTGTGAAGTGTGAAAGTAGCTTATTTAAATTTTAAATTAACATTGCTTTGTTTTTCTTTAGGGAACCTCAGGGCCTGATCCCACTACTGTGTATGTAGATCTGAAATCATTAAGACATGACAGGTATGCCACTGCCTATTTACATGCTTAAGCATAGAGTTTGGAAGCCACCCTTTGTTCTTTTTATGTCTGCGTCTTATTATCATTAATGCATGAAAAGATTACTTTTTCTTTTTGGTACCAGAAATCGAACTCAGGACCTTTGTGCTTGCTGGATAGGCATTGTGCCACAGAGCTATATCCCTGGTTCAAGATTTTCTTTTATAGAAGAAAGCTTTAATTCTGACAGTTCCTGTACTATTCTTTAACACTAAAAATAGAATACTATTTTGTGATATTTGATACAAGTTAAACTAAAATGATAGTCTCTTCTAAACGTTTAAAAAATAAGATGGAACCAGGCATGATGGTGCACACCTGTAACCCCAGCACTCAGGATATTGAGACAGGGTAGCTTCAAGTTTGAGACCACCCTGGGGGCTACAGAAGTGAGCATAAGGCCAGCCCAAACTGCGTAGTGAGACCCTGTCTCAAAAATAAAAGATAAAAATAAAAATTTAAAACATAGGATGGGACAGACACATAGGATGGGACAGACAAGATTTGTGAGGCAGAGCAGATCTTCTCTGAATCCCTGCCTTCTCACCTTAGAAGGAAAGTTTAGTTTCTGTCCCCGATAAGCACTGTCAGGAGCCCTGCTAGGATGTCCTCTGATGCATCACTGGTGCATATTACTCATGGGCCGTGTTCTCACTGCAAGATTACCCCCCTACCCCAAGGACACTGACAGTGTCTGAAGAGGTTTTTTGTCATCACCCAGGGGAGCTGCTACTGACATCTAGTGGGTAGAGGCAGGATTTTACTAAACACCCTGCAGCAAAAAATGGCCTGAGACAGAATGTCTGTGAGTCAGAAACTCCGCTCCAAGGGAAGAGGAGAGACCATTTAGGGGTCTCAGGAAAGCAAGAGGCATGGTGAAGTCACTTTTAGAAAGGCTTATGTCCAGTAACTCAACTCCTGTTCCTCTGCAGGGTTCGTCTTGTGGAGCGGGGAGCCCCGCAGAGTCTGCTGCTCTCAGAGTCTGGAAAGGTATGTTCTCTGCAAACCTCAGGGGTGGCCCTCCAGCAACCAGGCCAAACACCAGTCTAGGGCAGAACATAATGGAAAGCTGGAGATCACTCAAAGCCTCAGTTTAACTAATACATTGGGATTCACATGCAGGCTGCCAGAGTCTGCAGACTAAAGCACCTCCTTAGGCAGATGCAGAGATTGGGGGTTGGGGGTTTGATCCTCACTGTGCTGTGCCGGCCATGCCTCCGGCAATTGAGACTGGGTGTAGTGGTGCGCACCTGTGATCCTAGAGCTTGGGAGGCTGAAAAAAACAGGATACCATGAGTCCTATCTGTATAGTGAGACCCTATAGATCCTGTACTAAAATACATTTAAAAAAAAAAAATTTACATGCATACACATAGGAGACTATATTGGAGCCTTCTGGAATTTTTCAGCTTAGCAGGTATTCTTCCTGACAAATCTGCAGAATGCAGTGCAAAGCTGATAGCTGAACAGCACTCAGAAGAGTCAGTTTCATCTCAGTAGTCACGTGGGGAATGCTAGAGGTACAGATATGGGTAGTATAGTGTAAGGTCAGCGGAAGACATTCAGATTAAAAAAATAATTCAGTATGGGGAAGAGATTAAAGACAGGCGAAGGGCTGGGGAGATGGCTCAGTGGAATAAGCGCTTCCCTGGCAAGCGCAAGGGTCTGAGTTCAATCCCTGGTTCCGTAAAAAAAATAAAAAATAAAATAAAAATAAAAAAATAATAAAGACAGGCGAAGCTGGATATGGTGACAGGTACCTGAGGCCCCAGTGCAGGAAGCAGAGGTAGGAGAAGTTTAAGCCTAGTATGGGCACCTGAGCAAGACTTTGTCTCAATGTAAAAAATTTTAAAAGGTCTGGGGAATGTAGCTCATTGTGAAGATCATGGGCTCAACGTCCAGTACCAATTTTTTTTTTTTTTAAAGGAAAGATTCAGCTAAGAGAAGCTCACTAAGTATAGTGGCCACATGTGTTGTGCTATCAAGACAGAGCAGATTTCCCATCCCTAGACGGGAGGAGCGCGTTGATGCCTAGGAGGATCACCCCAGTAGGTCTAGAGGCATGGCTAAAGGGGAAATAAGATGCTGCTGTTTCCAGGGGCACTAGTGAGTGTGCTGCAGGGAAGCTGGGTGGGCAGATCTTACCTCATCAGATGTGCCAGTCAAGGTCAGGTGTGAGTAGGAGCCACAGTTTATGCCCTGCAGGTCCTGGCCAGGGACAGCTTGGAGGAAGCTATCCTTTCCCTTCCTTCATTGCCTCCTGGAGGTTTCACTTACATAAGCCCAGATGGCCTCAGGCTTTAGCAATCCAGGGTAAGAAGAGGTGTGAGATACGCATGCACAATACCCATGCACATTACCCATAGAGGCTTTTCTCCTGGTAGGCCCAGAGCTGATGATCTCAGGCTGCACCTGGTTTTTTCCCTTCCTGAGGAAGCTCCAGGCATGTGAGGTCTTTCTTAATCCCAGGACAAGGTCATCTTCCCTTCCCCTGTAGAGCCACCTCTGTGCTGCCCTGTCTCACTATTATAGTTCCTTGGGCTGACAGCTAGAGTGTAGTCTCAGGCTTGGCCTCTTTCTGTGTTGAAGAGATTTTATGATGTTCCATGAGTGAGATCAATTGTGAGAAAATTAAGTTACCTGGCTGTTATGATCCTCATCACTCTAAAGAGATGCTAGGCTAAGTGAATCTTACTAGACCTCTGGTCTCCACAGAAATGAGAAAGATTTGGTAGGAGCAAAACAGGCGCCTGCAGTTGTCCCCTCAGGACAGCCACTTTGCAACAGGCAGTTCCCATTCCCATTGTGCCACTCTCCCAGATCTACTAAGGTGGCTGCTCAATTTTTGTAGAGGTCGTGACTATCCAATCTTTATGTTCTCCCTTTGATTCTCAGATTTTACCTGGAGTGAAAGTGGTTATTGTTAATCCTGAGACCAAAGGGCCTGTTGGAGACTCTCATCTGGGTGAAGTAGGTATAATTTTCAATTTTACTCTGAAAGTCAGTGCCTTAGGGCTTACGTCCTGAAAGCCAGCCAAAGTGGCTTAGATTGTCCTCCATTGTGAATATTTTTTCTGTAGGTAGGAGACTGAAGTGAAAAGGAAGGAGAGGTTGTGACTGGAGTCAATGGAAGGTTGAAGGTTAGGTTCCCAAAGCAGATTTTCTGCTGCCATTCATTTACCTAAAAAATAAACTGAGAAAATCCACCCTTAAATGGCTGGAACTAGAAGCTACATATATCATTTTTTTGCAATTCATGCAATTATATTTCAAAATGTATCCATTTGGTTGGTTGATTGGTTGGTTGGTTGGTTGGTTGGTTGGATTGTTTTTTCTTTCCCAGTAGTAGGAATTGGACTTAGGACCTTGGGCTTGCCAGGCAGGTGCTGTGCTGCTGAGCTGTATCTCTGGCCCTCCTTTTTCTTTTTTTTTTTTTTTTTTTTTTTTTTTTTTTTTTATTTTTGTGTGTGTGTGTGTGTGTGTGTGTGTGTGGCCAGCTCAGCCCACCAGGGGGCGTTCTGGCTGGCATGTGGTGCTGGGGGATTGAACCGTGGTCCCTGTGCTTTAGCTAAGCTTGTTCTAAGTAGGTGCTTTAGACCACTGAGCCATCTCACCAGCCCCTCCTTTTTCTATTAGTATAAAAATACTCTTGAAAGGGCTGACCAGATAGCTCACTGGATTAAAGCACCTTCTTAAACAGACCCAGGGACCAGGGTTCGATCTCGGATGCAGTGAGATAGCAATTGAGACTGGCCATCTGACATGTGCCTGTAATCCCAGTGCTTGGGAGGCTGAAAACAGGAGGATCACCACGAGTCCGATCTCTGTAGTGAGACCCTGTAAGCTCTGTACTAAGTAGATTTTTTAAAAAAGGGCCAGGGAGATGGCTCAGTGGAATAAGCACTTCCCTGGCAAGCACAAGGGCCTGAGTTCAATCCCCAGTTCCACCAAAAAAAAAAAAGAACAACTCTTGAGCCCCACATGGTGGCACATGCCTGTAATCCCAGGACTCTGGAGGTTAAAGCAGGAGAATTGCTGCAAGTTCCAGGCCAGCCTGACTTACATAATGAACTCATTGTTGGTGTGAGCTACATAGTAAAATCTTGTCTTAAAAAAAAAAAAAAAAAAACTTCTACAAAGACTTCCCCCCAGTCTTTGAAGAGTCCTGATATTTGATCCCATAGTTTAATGAGGGGAGCAGTTTGAGGAGCCTGGCTTCTGCAGTTACCAGCTTGTCAACACTGGACAAGTTTCTTAAACTCCAAGGGCTTATTTCTTCATCCATTAATAATTAAAGCCCAACTGGGCATGGTGACCTGTGCTCTTGGCACTCAAGTGGCTGAGGCAGGAGAAAGCCAGCAAGTTTGGGACTAGTCTGGCCTGCATAGTGAATTCAAAGCCAGTCTGGACTGTATACTGAGACCCTGTGTCAAAAAGAAAAAAAAAAGGGGGCGGGGGAGGTGGCTCAGTGGAATAAGCGCTTCCCTGGCAAGTGCAAGGGCCTGAGTTCAATCCCTGGTTCTGCTTAAAAAATAAAAAATAAATAGCCCCTAACTTACTTACCTACAGAGTAAAATAAAATAGTACTGCATTTGCAAAGCGCAGGAACACTGTCTCATAGTGAGTTCCCAACAAACACTGGCCACACTAGTAACATTGCTGTCAACTTAGCCAGCCCTGCTTACTTTCTAAACTCCTGGGCTTACTTTATAAACTCCGGCAGGATGGCCTGTACTGTTCCTCCCAAGGATTTGTATCATAGAGTAGTTATATCACTGAACACAGAGATGACATTTGGTACTTTGGTGGGAAACAGGTAAAAAATGAACTAGAAAGACACTGTAGCTCACAATTACGAGCATATCCCTTAAAGCCAGGCATGGTTGTGCACACCTTTTATCCTAGCACTCAGGAGGTGGAGGCAGGAGGGTGGTTGTGAATTTGATCCCAACCTAGACTACATAGTGAGTTCAAGGTAGGCTTCAACTAAATAGTGACACCATCTCAGAAACTTAAAAGAAAAAAAAGGAGGGACCAGGATTATAGCTCAGCAGCGTAGCACCTGCCTGGCAAACACAAGGTCCTTGAGTTCAGTTGCCAGTACAAAAAAAAAAAAAAAGTGAGAGAGCCTTTTTCTCACATCTATAGCAATAGTAATGGAGGTTAGACACATAAAATGCTTATTATTTCATTGTTGTGCATGTAGGAAAGACAGTAAATGCCAGCTGCCCTTATGGTTGCACTTGTGTTCTTAGTAGAGAAATGAGATTCCAACAAGTGAAAATATTATCCCAGGAGAAACCATGTGTTCCTGATGCAATGTGACCATTGCTGTTTTCTTGTAGATTTGGGTGAACAGTCCCCATACCGCCAGTGGCTACTACACCATCTATGACAGCGAGACTCTTCAAGCAGATCACTTCAACACCCGCCTGAGCTTTGGGGATGCTGCTCAGACACTCTGGGCTCGAACAGGATACCTGGGGTTTGTCCGTAGAACTGAGCTCACAGCGGCCACCGGAGGTACCTCCCACCTCTGCGCCCTGCGGGGTGTTGATCTGTAGCACTGGCCAGCCTTCTGCCTCCTGAGGAGTGTAGAGTGTGGGTGCAGTTGTTTCCAGTACTCTTTTTTTTTTTTTTTTTTAATATTTATTTGTGCGTGTGTGTGTGCGTGTGTGTGGCCATCTCAGCCCACCAGGGGGCGTTCTGGCTGGCATGTGGTGCTGGGGGATTGAACCGCGGTCCCTGTGCTTTTTGCTAAGCTTGTTCTAAGTAGGTGCTTTAGACCACTGAGCCATCTCACCAGCCCCAGTTTCCAGTACTCTTAAACCCAAGAGTGAATCCATGTTTCTTTGAAGTAACACTTGGCCCTATGCAGCTCCTGGAGGGAAGCACTCGGGGCCACCATGGGAGAAGCCCAGGAGTGGGCACAAGACGGCCAGGCAATCAGAGATGTGCTGAGGGTGGGTAGTGCCTTAGGCACAGCGAGCCACTGAGCTCTGGGTGCTGATTCTAAACAATGAACGAGCTCCTGGGATAGATGCAACATCTTTTGTTCCTCTACCCATGCGTGCCATTTTGGGAGCAGAAGGAATACCCCTGATCTCTGGGCTAGGTGGTACATACCTATAATCCCAGTACTCAAGAGGAAGAGGCAGGGGGGCTGCCATGAATTGATAGCCAACTTGGGCTACTTAGACAGACCCTGTCTCAAAAAAAAGCCCCACCCTAATCCCTGAAGAAGGGTCAGCTTTAAGGAGCCATTCTGCTTCTTTTTTTTTTTTTTTTTTTTTTTTTTTTTTTTTTTTTTTTTTAAGTATTCTTTTTACTTATTTATTTATTTTTGTGTGTGTGTGGCCAGCTCAGCCCACCAGGGGGCGGGGCTGGCTGGCATGTGGTGCTGGGGGATTGAACCGTGGTCCCTATGCTTTGCTAAGTTTGTTCTAAGTAGGTGCTTTAGACCACTGAGCTATCTCACCAGCCCCGCCATTCTGCTTCTTCCTGTTGTATATAAGCCTGTTTTTCAGCAAGGCTGTGTCCCTGCAGTCATTCTGTTGTTTGGTCATGGCTTTTCTGCCATACACTGTACCTTCAGCCTTTCCTGGCTGGCATCAAGAAACACTTTAAATTAAAGACCCAGCTGACAGGGACTGTCCCTTCCTCCTTAGCCCTTTGTATCTGTTTCACACTGACCTGCCTCCATCTTCTCTCCCTAAGAGTGTGTGCGCTCTGTTCTCCTCATGCCATCATTGCACTGCATCACTGTGTCTGAACCGTAATTTTCCCTTTCAGAGCGTCATGATGCATTGTATGTGGTGGGAGCTCTGGATGAAACGCTGGAGCTGAGAGGATTACGATACCACCCCATCGACATTGAGACCTCAGTGTCTCGGATCCACAGGAGCATTGCTGAATGGTAATTGCCCTGCTTTAGTGCTGCTTTCTGTCTTTTTTTTTTTTTTTTTTTTTTGTCTTTTTGAGACAGGGTCTCCATACACAGTTCAGGCTGGCCTTGAGCTCACTTTATAGCCCAGGCTGGCTGGTCTCCTACTCAAAAAGATCCTCCTGTTTCATCTGCCTGAGTGCTGGAATTCCAGGCATGCACCACCATGCCTGGCATAGTGCTGCTTTCAGTGAGCTGGCTCACTAGGCAGTGATGCACGTCGTAATGCCAGCACTGATGGAAGCTAAGGCAGGAGGATCACAAATTCAAGTCCTGGCTAGACAGTTCAGCAAGACTCTGTCTCAAAATAAACATAAAGGGCTGGGATATAGCTCAGTATGAGTGTGTCCCTGAGATTAATCTCCTGGATGGCAAAATAAATTTATACCCATAGATGTGGGATTTCATGTGATGTGAAGAAATACATAGAACATCTCTCCTCTTGGGTGTATGATCTGCAGTACTCTTCATTCTTCTGAGCCCTATAGAACAGATCTATTTTTAAGGACAGACTCATAATTGGAAGGGGTAGGAGCTTATCTGTCTCTAGGAAGTCAGTGTGGTATGGAAGGAGGAACCATGACTTAAAAGTCAGAAAACCAATTTAAAAAACACAGTGCTCTGCCTGGGCATGGTGGCTCACGCCTGTAATTCTAGCACTTGGGAGGGCAGGCTAAGGCAAGAGGATCAAGTTCAAGACCCTCCTGGGCTACAAAGTGAGCTCAAGGCCAGCCTGAACTGCATAATGACACCTTGTCTCAAAAAGACAAAAAAAAATGTCTCAAAAAGACCAGAAAAAAAGAAAAAAAGGCCAGCCAGATAGCTTATCAGACTAAAGCACCTGCTTAGGCAGGCATAGGGACTGGGGTTTGATCCCAGCATGCCATGCTGGCCCCATCCCTGGGGCACACTGAGACTAGGCTTGGTGCTGTGCACCTATAATCTCAACACTTGGAAGGCTGAAAACAGGAGGATCACTATGAGTCCGATCTGTGTAGTGAGACCCTGTAGACCCTGTACTAAATAAATTAAAAAAAAAAAAAAAGCCTAGTGCTCTATGCTGCTTTCCTCTCAGTGAAATGCTCCCTTCTACATCCTGATATAGGAAGGAGCCAGTGAGTGTGGGTTCTGTGAGTATCAGTGGAAGTAGATGGAAAGAATTAGTGTTTCACATTTTCCCTGATAAAGGATTATCGAGCTTAATCCAGGTGCTTTCCCACCTATCCAGTCTGTGTCTTTTCCCAGATTTTCCCATGCAAATAGCAGTCCTTTTGATTGTCACTCATGCTGTGTAGAAGCTCCATCTGCAGATGTTCCTGCCTTGGTCCAAGTCTCTCCCCAGGTGTGAACAAAGGTCTAACCAGCACAAGAACATCAGTAGGCAGAAGAGAATCCGGAGAGCATGCAGGGAAGCTGGATGCCAAGGCTACCTTCCAGTTACAGACATTTGACTGTTGTAGTGCAATATTGCATAGTTTTTTAATGATTGAACTTTTTTTTTTTTGTGTGTGTGTGTGTGTGTGTGTGTGGCCAGCTCAGCCCACCAGGGGGCGCGGCTGGCTGGCATGTGGTGCTGGGGGATCGAACCGTGGTCTGTTCTAAGTAGGTGCTTTAGACCACTGAGTCATCTCACCAGCCCTAATGATTGAACTCTTGAAGGAAAAAAAAGATTTAACACCATAAATCACAGATCAGGCCGTATGTTCTTATATAGTACTCCATGCAGTGGAAGGTAACTTTCTGCTTCGTGGTGCTTATATATAGTAGGGGACACTCTTACGTGGGGCACTGTCAGCTGTCACTGTGAACTCAGCCTCTCTTCCTGATGAGTTTAAGAACATTGTCACAGTTAAAGTTCTTTTGTTGCAAGCAACAAAAAGCCTTCAAAAAAGCTTAACAATGCTGGGTGTGGTCCACATGCCTATAATTGCTGAGGCAGATCGCTGAGTTAGGGCCAGCCTAAATCTGCAGAGTGAAACCCTGTCTCAAAAAGAAGTGCTTAAACAGAAGAAAAAATTAATGGAAAGAATACCTGGCTATCTCAGAAGTCCAGAAAAACTTTTGACTCTGGGTCTGAGGACAGGCAGAGCCAAAGGCCAAGAAGGCTATACGGAAGTTTTCACCTGCTTCCTGGAGCAGGCAGCTCTGCTCTTCCTGTATTCTCTGCTCCCTAAAAGGCTGCTCTCTCTGCTGCTCTGCACCCCTGGCCACCCTAGCACTTTCATATGCCCATGTCCTCAGCTCAGGTGACCGACTGACAACTCTGTCCCACATCGACTCCGAAGACAGTGTGCATGACTTAGTTTATCAGCTGTAGTCATCTGGGCAGGTCACATAGCACAGCTGGTTAGAAGCCAGGAGAGAAGACAGGTCTCAGGGAACAGGGTAGCATCTCAGTAGAGGCTGTAGAATATCACTGGTAATGGAACAACACATTAACTGATGCCTTTGAAATTTCAGTGCTGTGTTCACGTGGACCAACTTGCTTGTGGTGGTTGTAGAACTGTGCGGCTCTGAACAAGAAGCCCTGGATCTGGTTCCTTTAGTGACCAACGTGGTCCTGGAAGAGCATTACCTCATTGTCGGCGTTGTGGTTGTGGTGGACCCAGGTGTCATCCCGATCAACTCCCGGGGAGAGAAGCAGAGGATGCACCTCCGAGACAGCTTCCTAGCTGACCAACTGGACCCCATCTATGTGGCTTACAACATGTAGCCAGCCACATGGATGCCATCCTGAGTCTCACAGAGACCAAAGGCCCACAGCTAGGAGCAAGCTCTCAGGCAATGTGAAGTAAGCCGAGGTGGCTGCGTGACATCCTTCATCTCATTCTGTGGGGTTCTGTAGTCATACAGCACACACAGGAAAGGGGAGATCTGCGGTGGCAAATGAAAAAATGTTCCCAGTTAGACCTAAGCTTCAGCCTAGCGTGAGCAGCACGTTACTAAAGCAATTACTTGCATGTTGCATTTTTTTTCATCTGTTGTACATATTTGTATTTTTATCTAATGCCATTTTAGAATTTTGTAAGGGAGTTTAACGAATTCACATGAAGTGGCGGCCTGAGTTACACAGATCCCCACTCTGTACTGTATTTTGCTGTTTTGCCATAGCTAGATATTCTGCAGGTTTTTCTAACATGAAACTACTTTGCTTTCAGTCAACCCAGGAGCAAAACTGATAACCGCTGAATATGCAAATTACTTTATATATATAATTCTTTACTGTAAGACATTTTGACCAGTGTTTCAGACATGTAGATACACATAATTCAGCTGAAGAATTGAAGAACTGGTATATGTAATTAAAACAAAATAGAAACTTTTCTACCATGAGAATTTCATTCTCTTAATATAGTGTAATTGATTAGGTAACCAAAAAGTGCAAATTGTTAGCAGGCTTTGCTGCCCATGTTTTATGTCCTTGTTGGCTGATGTATTTCATAAGCTAAAGCTACCTATATTTGTTTTTAAAGCTTGCATTCCTGGAATCAATTTAGGCTTCTAAAATTCATTGTGTTTCTATGAGATGAAAATCTCAGTGTGAAAATCAAAATGTTTTGTTTTTTGTTTTGAGACTGTCTCGCTATGTAGTTCAGGCTGGCCTTGAACTCACTGTGTAGCCCAGGATGGCATCGAACTCATGACTGTCCTCCTGCCTCAGCCTCCTGAGTGCTGAGATTACAGACATTCGCCACCACACCTAACTCAGAAATCAAAATGTTAAGAAAAAACTAAGATGCATTAGATCCCACCCTATCCTAAGGAACTAAAAAGCTCATTCTAGCCCCAGCTTTGAAACCATCTTTCACATTTAGAGTGACTACAGAAGAATTTAGAATTTCTTATTTTTCCTGGTCCTTTGTAAACTATGTCTACAGTTTACACACAGAACTTGTCTTTTACTGAAAACTGAGGCATGTGCCTGTCCCTCAGGTGTGAAGGCAAGGAGTGCAGCATCGCATGAGCTGAAAGGCCAGGTAAATGCACGTCACAGCCCTGACAGGTTCGGGTTGCTGGAATAGCCAGGCTTACACTGAAATGGAATCTGACATAGGAAGAAACTCCTTTGAAATAGTTGGTGCCTAGGCCAAGCACACCGAGTGTGGGGCCAAGTTTGACCTCCGGCTCGGTTTCCTTTCTTTGATCTGATAACTTCATGTATTTGAATATAATTAAATTTTATTATTTTTTTCTTACAGAAGTATTTTTAAAAAATTAAAGAAAAACTCAAAAGTGAAAAGAATTAACTTGTTCAATTAGAATGGTTCTCTTTGGCCCATTCTGATCTACTGTGTAAATATTAATTTAGACTATTTTAATAATACATATTATTTACCCCACTGTAACATCATGTAAACTAAATGTGTTTTTAAACAATTTGTAAGACTTGTAATTACCCTGAAAATAAGGTTTATAAAGTGAAGACCAGGCCCATCATGAGGCTGTGCTCTAGGGCTGCCTTTGCAGTCTTACGGCTCAGAACTACTTTCTGACTGCTTTTTCCCTTGTCCTCTTCCTCCCACTCATTCTCCACCTTGGGAAGACCTCAGGATGCTTCTGGTTCATGTCTTTTTCACTGTTTTGAATGGAAATAATTTGCACATGACATAATAAGGGAGAGTGAGGGGTACAAAAAGCTCTTCCTTTGGGGTGAACAGAATCCCATCCTCCAGCAGTGGGTTGGTTTGCAAAGAAAACAGCACACTTATTGGGAAGTAATGTTATGAAAACAATTTTTAGTAATTCGCTAACCAAAGCAGTGGAACCTGAGAATTAAATAGTTTTGTAATCACCAAATTCTAAGAAAAAATTAAAGGCAGCTTCTATCCTGTGGGTTGATTAATAATTCTTGCAAACACAAGTAATCATGAATACCAAGGGACTCAGTGTCTACTACAAATGTAGTAATGGGAGTCACTTACAATTTTTAAAATTCTAGTAACCACATTAAATACTAAAGAAAAAGATTATCAATTTTAATATATTTAGTGCAGCATATCAGAAATACTGTTTCCAAGTAAAGCCGTATAAAAATTATTAATGTGGTCTTTTGCCTTTTTTGAATTGTTAGGTCTTAGAGTTCAAGCGTGTATTAAACACATCCCAATTTGGGTTTCTGTTTAAAGTCTTCAGTATCACGAGTGGCTAACAGCTATTGTGTGGAAAGCACAGGCCTCTACGCATTCCTTCAAATACCATACTCATCTCAGAGTGGCCCACTCCCTTTGCTTAGGGCTGATTACCAGTTTCCTTGTTCCTCAGGCCTCTGTCTTTATTTGCACCTTTGTGGCTTAGCTGCTTTGATTTTTTTTTTTTTTTTTTTTTTTTTTTTCATATGCCTCAAAGCCATGCTGTGCTAGTGAAGAAAAAGTAAGCTGAGAGCAGACCTTGGGGATCTCATCAGTAACTGGTGCAGTATCTGGGAAAGAAAGGGGAGTCCTCTCCTGCCACTGGTGTTTGGGGGTCATCTGCATATTTAAAGTCTCCAGGCTTTTCTTCAGGTCTGTTATAGTCTTGAATAAATTTTTTTGTTTTCTTTTTCTTTTGATGATAATGCTTTGCCCTTTCCCTAAGTGGAAGCTATGTGGTAGAATTATTTAAGCAGCCTGAAAGGACATAATTGGTAAACAGAAATTCCTGCAACCTTTCTAGGCCTCTGAACCCATTCTGAGTGGGTTTCTAGGCTGCAAAGGTAGGAGGGCAGTCAACAGCAAGCCCCCGTCTTTTTAAGAAAGTTTTTGCTCTGAAAGTTTCTTAACCTTTTTATTGTTGTCAGCAGAAGCAACTGGGGCGAGTCTGTGGAAGGAAAATTGACTAGGTCCTGGGGATCCTTAGAGCAGCACAAATGCCATCTTCTGCATCAGTGAGACAGACCCTGGGCTGGCCCTCTTGATAACTGCCATTAGGGAGTCCATGGGATTGTTCTTGTTACGGGTGTGGGGGTGTCCTGGGACTTGAACCCAGAACTTTGCACTGAGCTATACCATACGCAGCCCTGTTTTATTTTTTGAGACAGGGTCTCATTAAAGTGTCCAGGCTAGCTTCAAACTTGAGATCTTCTGCCTCAGCCTCCAGAGTGTTTTGAGATGACTGGCATGACAACATGGCTGGCTTCCACACAATCTTTAAGGTCCAAGAAAGCACTAAGTTCCTTCCTTCTAAATTCCTTCTGCTGTTGCCTCGCCTCAGGCTGTTTGGGACCATCATCTGTCTTGGTCTTCAGTGTCTGCTTTAGTCCCTGGGCAATGCTTGCTTAATGCTTTTGTGGAATCAACAAAGGGCCTGAGGCCTTAGGCTTGTGTTAAGGTCTCTGCCCCAGCATGGTGCTCAATTTCTTGGCCAAATAAACTTTGCTTAAATATCCAGGAATCTTTTAGACTAAAGCAATGAGGAGTTGTCACCTCATCTTCAAACTCCAGCATGACCTATGCCTTAGTGTCATTTTTTGTTGTTGTTGTCTGCTTTGATGTAAAAGCAAGAGTATTTGGAGCAAGAACTTAGCACTACTCCAAGTACATAATAGGCCTTTTCTTTATCATTCATACCACATTTCTGGTTTTGGTGTATGTGGATGGGCCATGTTATTTGTCCAGAAAAAAAGATTGTAAAAATATAAGAATAATTTTTTAGTCCTAAATGCTGTTTGTTTACTTTGTCAAGATATTTACCCGTGTCAAATTCAACCTATAGTACTGTGTAATTATGTATAAAGTTTTTATTTATTTGAAATTAGACTAGATATACATTTTTAAATTTAACATCTGGCTGGACAGTGTTCTATTAACTCATTGAATGTGTTTCCTTTGTTTTGTGTTAATAAATATTGATGCTTGATTGTGTTTATTCCTTGGCACAGGGAGTGCAGGCTGCAGAGTTGATAGATTGGTGTGGGGGTGGGGTGGGCAGGACTGGCCCTGGGACCTTGGGTGTATCTTCCTTGGCGGTAGGTGCCTGGGTAGCTAGAGTGGACCTGTAAGAGTGAACACTGACCCAGATAGGTGGGCTAGAGGAGGCTGATCAAGGATGTGAGAAAACAAATGAGGCTGTTATCCAGACTTTATCTTTATCTTCTTTTTTTTTTTTTTTTTTTTTTTTTGCAGTACCAGGGATCAAACTCAGGACCTTGCAATTGCCAGGCAGGCACTTACGCCACTGAGCTATATCCCTGGCCCCCTATCCAGACTTTTTGAAGTAACAGTTTTAGTTTTCCTCTTGCCCAGTAGAGGGACGCTATTGATCATAAACTAATTTTTTCCTAATGTGTAATTAGGCTGGATTTCAGTGTTTTCAAAAATGATACTTCATTTGTTGTGTTTTTGCTTTTTTTTTTTTTTTGGCTCCAGTACTGGGGACCAAACTCAGGATCTTGAGCTTACCAGGCAGGTAACATTGAGCTATCTCCCTGGGCCCTATTTCTGCTTTTGATTGAGGAGAAATACAACTCCCATCCTGCTAGATGTCACATGTGCCAAGTTCATGTGCCCTGAAAGCGAAGAATGAATTCCAAAGGACAGAGGAGATTAACAGTGGAAAAGGCTTACTGGGGAATAGAAATAGCACCTGAGAGACAGAAAGTCCCAAAAGTGGGGTGGCTTCAAGGCTCTTTGTCAAAGCAGCTTATACAGCGGTCACAGCAGTCACAGTATAGACAATCAGTAGGATTACAGACATAGCCACTTAGCTGATGTTTATCAGTAGGGTGGTGGACACATGGCAAGGTCTCATGGCTGACACCATTTCTGGGGCTTATCTGTGACTCCTGAAACAGAAACAAATTTGGAAGGGGTCTGTATGTCTTGGTCACCCACCTGGGTGTCTGATGTATTTAGGTATGTACGTTGTAACCTCAAGTTTCCACTTCAGCCTTTCTTGTCGGGTGCCAGTCTGGCCATTGTGACTTGCTCTTGAGACCCTGCCTTCAGATACACCTCCAGCCAGTTGATGTCTTAATTTTCTGCTGACTTCCTTGAGAGC